GCAATAGCCCAGCAAGCCTGGTCCTAGAGCAGCAAGCAGGATGGCAGGCAGGCATGCTTCATGTGTAGCGTCTGTTGGCTGGGCTGGCCTGGCACTCTAGTGACCAACAGGTTGGCTATGGATGTGGTGTCTGTTATCGAAATGGGTATGGCCCTGCAGCAAGCAAGCAAGTGGGGTGGTGTGGTGGGCTTTCTACATGTTCATGGACTAGGTGGAGCCAGGGTGGCCCTGGAACAGGTGCTGGGCAGTGGGTGGCTGTGGGAGCTGGTGGAGGTGTTTGCTGCAGACCCTGCCTTGCTGTGGAGCAGCGGCCATGGGGGCCTGTGATCTGGGTTCAGTGGGATGCCAGCCAAGCCTTAGTGGCACCAGAGAAGCTGGTACACTGGGAGTACAGAAGGCTCTGCCAGAACTGTTTGGGCACTTAAATGGCAGGGAAGGCAGCAGGGTGGACATGTTTTCCTGTGGGAGATTCAGGTCCTGTGGGCTGGTGCTCTAGGGTCACCGTGTAGAACGGGGCCAGCCTTCAGTGCCTAGTGGGCCAGCAGTCTGCTGAGAGCAGGGTCATTGGCAAAACCCACCTGTTCCTGAAGTAGCTGCTGGGACACCACATGAGGTTGAATGGCCCCGGAGCAATTGGCAGACAGCCTGGAACACAAGGGTTATCAGTGTGCTGGCCTAGCCCTGGAGTGTACAGTGGTTGGTGGGGGTTACAGGCTGAATTGGAATGGCCATGAAGGAGCCAGTGGGGTGGTGGGACAGACAGAGGAGAAGTGAGTACGGTACTGGCTGGACCTGGAGCAACTTTCAGGCTGGCTAGAAAGTCAAGGGATGTCAGCAAGCAGGCCTGGCCCTTGAGTGGATGGTGGGCCGGGGTGCAGGGGCACCTGCTAAGCCAGAATGGCCCTAGAGCAGTGGGCAGCCAAGCAGCCTGCTGAAGGTGTGAGTTCACTGGTCAAACCCAGTCTGCCCTGTGCATCGGACATGGTGGCATGACTGGTTGGGCAGTGGCGTGCCTGTCGACAGCTGACTGAACCAGGTCCTAGAGCAGTGAGCAGTGTGGTGGGCAGGCCTACTTTGTTTGCAGGGCATTTGGCCGAGCTGGCATGAGGTTGCAAGTGACAGGCAAACTTGGGACGTGGTGGGGTGACCCTGCAGTGGTAATCAGGGAGGTAGGGCACGCAGCCTTAGGTTGTGGGGTGTTGGCCAAGCCTGACTAGCCATTGAGGGGCTGGTAGGCATGTCGAGAATGTGGGAAGCTCCGCAGAAAAGGGTTTGGGTCCTAGAACCTTAGTCATGGCAGCATTGTGTGCATGCTCTGGCATAGGGGATTCAGTTCCTGTGGGCTCGTGCCACAGCTGGCCGTCCGAACAGGCCTGGACCTATGGCAGCTGGCAATTGAGCAGTCTATTTAGGGAGTGGGGATGTGTGCGAGCCCACCTGTGCCTGGAACAGCTGATCTAGTGGTGATCTAGTGGTGTGTGGGTGCTGGCTGAGCCTGCCTGATGCTGGAGCAGCTTGCAGGCAGGCTTGGAACATGATGGGTCTCAGTGAACTGTCGTGGAACTAGAGTGGAGGTGGTTGGGTAGCAGGGGTCACCAGCTGAGCCAGAATGGCTCTAGAGCAGTGAGCTTGGTGGTGAGGCTGGTGGTTTCTAGGAGCTTGGGAGGTGCTGGCCTAGCCCACCTAGTCTGGATCAGCTGGTAGGGCGGTGTCTTAAGCAGGCTAGAGGTACCAGAGTTTCTGTCCAAGCTGCCCTGTGCCTGCTGCAGCAGCCATGGCAAAAGTGCGAGAGGTGTGGTTAGCCCAGGGCAAGTGAATATGGCCTTGAAGCACCAGGCAGGGCAGCAAGGTGTGCTGGCCGGTGCTGCAGGGTTGCCAGCCCAATGGGCCTGGCCCTAGAAGGGTGGGTGGCTAAACAGCTTGCTAAGGGGGTAAGGCTCACTGCCTGAGCCCTACATGGCCCTGGAGTCCCCGGTAAGGATGGTAAGGATGGAAAGAATACAGGGCTGGAGGTTTAGGGACGTGCCTGTATCTTGTCGACAGAACCCGGCCTTGGAGCAGCAAGTGTGGCACAGCAGACAGGCCTGCTTTGTGTGTGGGTGGACCTAGGCCACCTAAGGGTTAAGGTTCCCTAAGTCCCTCTGGTCCCAGATGGGCGGCCACAGCTAATTGGGGAGCTCCTGTTGGGGAGCTAGGCCACACGCAGTCATGCAAAAATCCTGCAAGTGATCCCTGCTACTTATGCTACACATTAAGTTATCCTGTTCAAGAATCGCGTGGCATCCATGACCATGTTCTAGTATGATTCACAGTGCTTTAGCAGTCCAAATCCAATTAATGCTAGTGTTGCAAAAAAGCCTTTGATTGACCTGGATCAACTTAACCTGGGAGCTGTGTGCCCTTCCCCACCTTAGTTTTTTCCACAACTCTCTAGTTTATTCCTCTGTTTTTCTCTTGCATATTCCTTCCTTCCTTCAGCTCTGCCTATCTCTCTTTCTTCATTACCTTCTCCCCCACCCTTTCTTCCTTCCTTGCTTTGTTCTCATCTGCTAATTTTTCCACAAGGAATGCAGATGTATCATAAACATTCTTTTTTTTTTCTGTCATTGAACTCTAAACAACAGATAAAATGAATTTGGCTTTCATTCTCCTTTTGACTGCTGTCCCTGAGCTGATTTCTGGTAATCTGATCCAGCTCTTGAAGGCCACCTCTAATGTCTTCTCTTTTTTGCTTTCTTTCCTTTTCCTTGCTCCTTTCCCTTCTGTTTCTCCCCCCACCTGCGTTCTTTCCATTCTCTCCCTTCTTTTAAATGTATTGCAGCCTTAAAATTGAGAAACTTGGCCGGTGCAGATTGCTCAGCATGGAACTGTATGTCTAGAAGTTGTGAAGCCTCCAACACCCCCACCGACACCCCACCTCTTCCCCAATCCTTGTTGAAACAGGCAGCTGCTGTCTGGGAGCAAACCAGTATCCTGAGCCGGAAGTCGAGGCTGTGCCTCCCCAACCCAGAGTCATGGCAACACGCATGGAGCACGCAAGGAGCCGTGAGTTCTCCTATCCACACTAAAGGCTCATCTTCACCCAGAAGCCTGTTGGAAGTTCCAGGAAGCTTCAGTCTCCCCTCTGAGATGTAATTGCAGCAGAAGCTCTTTCTCTGCAAAATGAAGATGTCACCAACTCTAAAGATGAGATAGTTTCACTGGCAAGATGTATTTCCTACCTTATTTTAGTGAGTTGTTCCTCCACATTCTCTTAGAAACCCATTCCCTTTGCCTTCCTTGTGGAAAACAGCAACCTGCAGGGCTCTCTCTGTTGGCCCCTCCTGTGAGTTGGTTATCGGCACAGACCTTGTCCACAAGGTACGATGGTACTTGTCGGTGCAGGAGAGAAGCAGTGTGCACTCCCAGCAGCCATGGCCTTCACAGCAGCTCTGTTTAATTCCCTGATTTACTGAGGTACTGCAGCTGGAAAAAAAAAACACTGTTCCATGTGCATTAGAATCATAAGATTTCATGCGTCGTGAATGCTCTGTTCTGACATTTGATTTTGGCAAAGGACTGTCCCACTCTGAACATTCATAAAGTTTCTATCACTGGTGAATTTTCTATTTCATGAGAACAGATTTTCATAAAAAGGAATTTTTAAAAGTCATTACTGTCATATCTGTCCCCCTTGTTTGACTTTACTGATGTCCATAAGATGTGGTTTAAACAGAAAACATTTCCAGTCATATATTTTTTTAATTTATTTATTTTGTTTTAAATATTTATTTTTATTTATTTATTTTTTATTGGAAAGGCGGATATACAGAGAGGAGAGACAGAGAGGAAGATCTTCCTTCCTATGATTCACTCCCCATGTGAGCGCAATCCGAAGCCAGGAGCCTCTTCCGGGTCTCCCATGCGGGTGCAGGGTCCCAAAGCTTTGGGCCGTCCTCAACTGCTTTCCCAGGCCACAGGCAGGGAGCTGGAAGGGAAGCGGGGCTGCCGGGATTAGAACTGGCGCCCATATGGGATCCTGGGCGTGCAAGGCGAGGACCTTTAACCACTTGCGCCACCGCGCTGAGCCCTGAATTGCCACTTTTTAATGGAACTCTTTTTTTTTTATTTAAAGATTTATTTTATTTTAATTGGAAAGGTGGGTATACAGAGAGGAGAAACAGAGAGGAAGATCTTCCGTCCCATGATTCACTCCCCAAGTGAGCGCAACTGCGGATGCTATGCCAGTGCGAAGCCAAAGCCAGGAGCCTCTTCCAGGTCTCCCACATGGGTGCAGGGTCCCAAAGCTTCATTAGAACAATGAAGGCCTGGCGAATGTAACTTCGAATAGGATGTTAGCCTAGAGACTCCAAAAGAAGCAGAGATTGGAGATAGGCTATTTTCGAAAAGTTGGAACCTGGCAATTGCCAGGGACTGGGAGAAATCTCAAATCCTAAAGCACAACTGCTAAATCTTTGTTTTGAGAAACATACACTTAGTGGTTGTTGTAGTATAACTAGGGATATAGGCTACATAATTTACTGATGCAAGTGTGTTTTGGCAATAGAATCTACACAAGGTAAGAAAGATGGAAAGCTTGAAAGGAAGGCAGTTCATGCACACTCATGGAGGGGCATGAATGGATGAACACTCTATTTCTGCATCACCATAGAATGATTTAGGGCCAAGGCAAGCTGAGTTCTGTCTGCTGGATTCTAAATAAATTCTGGGGAAAAAATGTTTGCCTTTCTAGATTTTAATTTTAGCCTTTTTACTCTGCATTTTATGCTTATGTTTTTAAGTTTGACAAGTAAATGGAACTTCGAAAGTGAAAATAGTTCCTGGGTTTTCCAGGTTCATACATAAATTTTAAAAGGCTGCAGTTCTTGATTTTTTTCTGCTTAATCTTAGCTATAATTTAAAGTGGTAGTGGATTTTTTTATTATCATAACTTAGATTTAATTATTACTTAAATTTGAAGAACTTATAAGACCCATAGCATATAAAGAAATATGTATTCTTAAGAAGATATATATAGATATGAAAAATGGCTAATTATCTTTTTACAAGTAATTTTTTACTTTCTAATACTCAATACTTATTGTTATTAGTTGGATCAGTCTCGAACATATTCTCTAGATGAATTTTGTGAAGAACAGTTGCAACAAGCTAGCCAAGCAATGAAAAAATTTGAGGACGTCAGAGATAAAGCAATTTTGGAGTTAAAAAATACAGTCTTAAAGGTAATTCCTTAATTCTATTCTCTCTGCTTATCAAACGCTATGTATTGATTGAACTGATTATGCCAAATTGGGTTACTGGGAAAAGTATCTGAAGTGGGAATACACAGGAAAAGGTGGTTAATTAACCAACCAACTGGTACCATAAGTTTATGTGTTTGCATCAACTTGGAAAGTAAGAACTTTCCAAGGTATGTAGTGTGAAATTAAACACACACACCCCAAACCATATAATGAGTGTGCATATAAATGAGTGTGTAAGTGCTTGTATGCATATATTTTATATGTACAACTTCAAGGTCTTTAAAATCTGAATTTGCATGTAAAGGAAAATGAGATGTCTGAGTAAATTCAGGTGTTCCTAAGACAAAAGCCCATAGCTCAGGAGCACACCTAGATGAAGTCAACCTTCTGAGAGTTTCCTAAGAGTGAAGGCTCAATAATACGATGCACCATGTCCTCAGAACATCCCCACCCCCTTGCTATGTACTGCTTCACACAGTCTCCCCACAAAGAGGTAACGATGCATGAATGCATAATTCAGCAAATACAGTTTAAGGGACTGATAAAATATCAGCGAATCATGCACCTGCTATCCAGGTGGCTATTTGAGCTTTCTGGAGGACTGAATGGACTTAACATGTGAATGCTGAGTGTTTCTTTGAACTGAAATTATTCTCTGGACAACAATGACATTTGACACTTAGAGCGTTGACAAGATGGAGTGTAGCTCTTTGAAGTAGAATCTAAAAGCCTCCCATAGTCCTCCAACTTCCCAAAGCCCAGCCAGTTACAGATTCTGGGACAGTTTGCCAAGGATGGCATAAATAAATGAGTTATAACATACTACCCGGGCCACTGAAATGTTCACTCTACCTGTTTAGCACTGTTGCTGTATGATCATAAATAAGAAATTTCTATTAAAATCAATTATGTATAAGAACATTTTAGAGCTCTTGTTAATATGGATAATGACATCTACCAACTTTATTCACTTCATGGGAGAATGTAGAATTAAAAAAGGTGACAAGGGGCTAGGCACAGTAGCCTAGTGGCTAAAGTTTGACTTGCATCCACAAGGATCTCATGTGGGTGCCAGTTCCTGTCCTGGAAGCCCCGCTTCACATCTAGCTCCATGCTTGTGGCCTGGGAAAGCAGTCTGAGGACAGCCCAAAGCCTTGGGACCCTGCACCAGCATGGGAGAACTGGAAGAAACTCCTGGCTCTTACCTTCAGATTGGCTTAGCTCTGGGCATTGCGGCTACTTGGGGAATGAAATCAGTGGATGGAAGATCTTCCTTTCTGTCTCTCCTTTTCTCTGTAAATCTAGCTTTCCAGTAAGAAGTAAATCTTAAAAAAAAAAAAAAGGTGACAAAACAAAGCTGAGAATATATGCAAACAAATGATCCCTGAAACAGTCATTATTACTAAGGTATTGTGGCATTGAGCTAAAAACTAAATCATGTTAGCATAAGGTTAGCTTATAAGCAAATCTGTATGAAAGTTAGGGAAGGAAGTACATTCTTAAGAATACTTACATGTTTCTGCACAGAGGGACTGGCCTCAAGTAGGCGGTTACCAAATGCAAATATTCTTAAAACTTACCCATTGCTTCCTTCTCCAGCCAAGTCAGCACAAAACTGCCTTTTGCCCCACAGTGAAGGCGTAAGGAATGGGGATGGCCTCGTTGGCGCTAGTGAACATGAGGTTTGTGAGAGATCTTGGAAAATTTTAAGTTATGCATATATAACTCAACTTCCCTCATCTCACCTCTAAGACCTTTCCACCGAGCCTGTGCTCCACAAACTCCAACTTAAATTTTTCATTACCAGTAGCAGTTACTTTTGTAAAAAAAAAAAAAAAAATTAGAATACCAGCTGACAGTTATGACTATTGAAGCATCGACATTTTTCTAATGTGTAGAAAAAATTGAAAGTTGAAAATATTTTTAGAACATCAGAGGACTAACAAAAAATCCTTATGTACCTTTCGATTGTTTTAAGCAACACAGTTTAGATATGTTGGGTTGGTTCTGGTAGTACTTACAGTATTCTTTAGTTTTGGCAAAATGTCGTATTCAATAATGAGTAAATGATGCTAAAATATATGATTATGTGATTTAAAAATAATATCCTAACATTGGATTTTGTAAACTTTAAAGTTTTTCCTTAATTCTATGTTATATAGAGTAGATGTATTTAAGAAGTCAAATTGTTTTTGACTGCCCTAAAGGAAGCAGCCCTGGAGTGGTTTTAGGAAAGCTTGCAATTAGACTTAGTTTGTGCCCCCTGGTACTAGTCAGTGTGTTTGAAGATGATCCCTCAAAGTAGACAGCATAACTTCTTTTAAGTGAAGCAGCAAATATCAGGCTTTTGACCACATCCGTTACTTTGTTTTTGCTGGTATTTAAATAGAGTGTGAGTATGAAGTAAAGTTTTAATGAAAATTGACAAAGTTTAGATCCAATATGTTTGTCAGGCTAATAAAAACTACTAAAGATGGTAAATTATGCTGTATTAACATAAAACCATCACCTGCCTCTCAACTGCTTTATTAACTTGTAGGTTGCAGAAAAGAAGAATATTAGAGATTATTTTGAGCCCAACCTCTCTGCAAGTGATACAGAACATTTCAAGCTGCCTAAGTTTCGACGTCTGTTAGAAACGGTTTTCCAATTCCTAGTGCTGGTTGACTACATATTTCAGGAACTCCTCCGTCAGCTTATGAACACTGCAGTCACACTTCTCTGGGAACTCTTTGATGGGTCTGCTAGCATGCCATTCTCAAAGGAAGAAAAGAATAATAATCTCATCAGGTAAATCCTACTTCTTTGACTTAGAAGGTTCTTTCTAATCACAACTTTAATGCCACGTATGGAAGAGATATTCAATCATTTAAGCTAGAATTAGAAAATTCTGCTGGTAACAGTTTGTGTACTCATTTTTGCAATCAGCTGAACTTATTATTTACTGATATTCAATAGTGTCCATAAAACCCGGGCCCGGCGCAGTGGCGCAAGTGGTTAAGGTCCTCGCCTTGCACGCCCGGGATCCCATATGGCCGCCAGTTCTAATCCCGGCAGCCCCGCTTCCCTTCCAGCTCCCTGCCTGTGCCCCGGGAAAGCAGTCAAGGAAGGCCCAAAGCTTTGGGACCCTGCACCCGCGTGGGAGACCCGGAAGAGGCTCCTGGCTTCGCACTGGCATAGTATCAGCCGTTGTGCTCACTTGGGGAGTGAATCATCGGACGGAAGATCTTCCTCTATGTCTCTCTTTAAAAAAAAAAGAATATTTCCCAATATTTTCCTTGAAGTTGAGCATATGAGTGGCTGCCCTGCAAAATAAAGAGTACTCCGTGAAATCAGAATTTCAAATAAGCAACAGATATTTTTCTGTGTTTTACTGTATATTTCTTTGCTACATCTGGGACTCCCATGTACTGTTATCCTCCGGCCCCAGAGCTAATTCTTTAGAGAAGTGAGAATGAGTCTGGGAGGAGCCACAGGTTCAACCAGAATTTTGATTATTTCCTAGAAATATTTATTTACTCTTTGGCCAGCCACGAAAGGATTTAAGAAATATTTTTATTTTTCTGTTAAAATGTGATTTAAAATGAAGCATTCTTCTTATTTTCCCCAACCGGATCTACTTACTATAATTTGTGAAACCTAGTCTGTTAAATGTAATAGTAGAATACTTCATTACATCCCAAATATCGAAAGTTAGCAATAACATCTTAGTAAAATGCAAGATTCAGTAAATGGAAAATGAAGCATCGATTTGTAACATTTTAAAGCTCACATTATTCTATTCTGTTTCTCTACTTTTGACTGAATCCACAAAACTCAGTATTATTTATTAAAGGCCTCATTACTGGTTTGAGTAAGAACATTTAAGTTACAAAAGCATAACTACTGATGGTACCTTTTTTTCTGTCAAACGGGTTGTGTACATTTATGTATTTGGGAATTTAGGAAAGGTTTTAACAGTAGAGCTCTTAAAATAAATTCATCACGTTATCGAAAATTTGGGTGATTTATAGCTTGTTTCTTAACACCTCTTCATACTTCTTTGTGTGTGTTATGGAAGGAATATGCAGGTCTGGAGCCTAACACCTGGATCCTAACACCTGTATACCATATTGTCTATGACTAGTTGTATGGCTTAGCTTAACTGTCATCCTGACAGAAGTTAGACAAACTCTTTAGACTTCAGCTTTTCTTTTTTCGCCTTAAATTGGAGTGAGCAATAATGCTTATGTGAAAATGTTTGAACATAAACATGTTATTAATTTCTGATCATTGATATTACTGAATCTGTTTCCACTGACCTCTTTGTAAACTGTTCATAAAACATTTACTTATTTATTTTAAAAATGAGATGAGGGAAGGAGAAAAGTGAAAGAACATGAGCATCCGTGCTTCCATCCACCCCTCAAATGCCTGCAACAACCAGGTTGGGTTGGACTAAAGCCAGGGGCCTGGAACACCTGGATTTCCAACTTGGGAGGCAAGGAGTACCTGGGCTGTCATCTGGGGGGGTCTCAGATGCTGTGCATTACACAGGAATCTACAGGAAGTGGAGACAGAACTCAAACCCAGGCGCTCGGCAGCTGTCCCAGGCACTGGCTTAACTCACTGTATATGTGCCGCTGACCTCTTCACTATTGATTTGAATATCCGTGGTGACTAATGATGATGAGCATTTTTAACATATTGACCATTTGTGTATCTTTTTGGGTAGAGATGTCTATTTTTTGAGTTGTGTCTTTTTATTGTTGAGTTGCAACTGTTCTTTGTACATGTTAGAATCTGTGGGTCATTTTTGTCCATGTCCTTGTTACTATTCTCTGAAACACAAAGGTTAAAAATGTTAGGAAATCCTATTTATTTTTCTTTGAACCTTAGGTGTTCCTAAGAAATGATTGCCTAGTCTAAAGTCATGAAGATTTGTGCATATTTTATTTCATGATTTTGTAACTTTGTTACATTTGCATTTAAGTCTTTGA